AAAAAAAAAAAAAAAAGCCTCTAACACAACATCAGAAATCAAACGCAGTCAAGGTAACCTATAGGTTTAAGGAACTCAGAAGTACAAGAAATCTATAGGTTTCTGTGCTTTAACCTATAGATTTTAACTAACCTATAGATTTCTGTTAAAAGTACAAGAAACCACTGTGAACAAGTACAAGAAAGGTATAGGTTTTTCCATATGACAATTTCTGTTATAAGAATCAATTTATTAACATGTAAATTTAAATATCAACTAAATCAATCCATTAGTATCAAAATTTAAATAACTTATATCAATGATAAATTTAGATACTATATTAAATAACTTTTGATTTTATTATAAAATTAAAACATGCATTCAACTATTTATATTAATGATGAAAATAATATGGATAAGATTAAAATAAAAGATCATAAACTTAGATTGTTGGGAATTGACTAGAATTTGAGGTAATATTTTAGAAAAAAAATTATTAATCTTATAATAAATATTATTGATTAATGTTTTAGAAAATACTTGACAATTTTCTAATAAATATTAGACTAGAGGATAGATGATCACTCTCTCAATAATGTTGTTTTGCTTCGCATAAGATTGTTTGGGTTACTAAACGATTTCGAGGATCGAACACCATAGTTTTATTAATTATTATGGAAATACAATGTAACTTATTTTTCCACCTATACAACTCTACAAAGAGAAAACAGACTGAAACACATACACACAGAATTTTACCAGGAAGCTCTCTCAATAGGCAGCCCAGAGATTCGATTTACAACCATCTTTCTGTGACCCATTAACATCTACCCATACCTCATTAACACGCCCGATAAACTTGAAAGGGGAATAATACTGCGCAATAGAGTACGCGTACCCACTTTGGGTAGAAGTCGAGTTTCTCCACTCAGACCTGCTCAAGCTCACGGCCAACTTCTCAGCCTCCTTCACGATATTGTTATCCCCTGCAAATCCTGAAAACTTCCGAACGGCAATGCAGTGGCTTTCCCACCGATCGGGCTTGAGGTTCAGTTCGGGAAGCGGGACAGGTGGGCCCGCCTGGAACTTGACTGGCAGATAGAGCCCGACAAAGTAGGCAGACGAGTGGAGGGGCCCGGCTCCAGGGACGATGCTTATCAAGACGGGCTTCGTCATTGGTAGTCTTGAGAAGTTCAAGTTTGCGCCTTGTATGAACTGGAACAATCTGCAGTCAGGGAGAAATTTTGGAATGAGGTTTATATCTTAGGCTATGTTTGGTAAAACTAACTGATTAGTTAGCTGAGAGCATATAAGTGATTTTCGAGCTTGTAGTTATTGCTTACGACTTTTAGCTAAAAAACTAGCTTATATGATAAAAATGTTTGATAAAATTAGTTGATAAGCTAGCTGAAATGAAAATTCTAACGAGCTTATTTGAAAAGCTAACCAAAGAAGCTTATGAGATAAGCTCAAGATTTTTAAAAAAGTTCATCCTAACAAACGAAACTTATTTAGATACAAGAAGTTTACAAACTTAACGAAATAAGCTATAAGGTAGCCTATTTAGTTACCAAAATAGTCTTAAAAGGGACTGATAGCCAGCTTTTCTAAGGGGTGCTTGTGCCTAATTGAAAATGCCACTTGAGACTTTTGAAATTGCAAACTTTTGATCATCATGGGTTTGTGCGAGAGTATCACCCTTGTCCGCCACAGACCTCACGGCTAACAATAACGACCAAAAGTTGGTTTTTTTTTTTGCAAAGTGGCGAGGTTATTATGTTTCTCTGTAAGTGCTCGTACTTTTAATTTGTTTAGGACAAAAGACCTACAACTTATGGACCAAAACACGTTCGTATTACTTGTTTCGACTTTAAGTTTAATGTCACATGTACGGCCAACAAGTAAATCCAAACTAGGTTTGCTCTTCGGTTACGAATCATACCAAATCGCTACTTTAAAAAAAAAAAAGCAGAAGTTTTCGACACACTATCTTAGCAATTTGC